AGTTTACTGCATGGCCGCCGGTTTCGCCTCTTTGAGTGTTGGTCTTGTGAGAAGACTTGAGCAGTCGGAATGTCCAAGTGGAGATACTACCCGGTTAACCAAGGGCCGAAGAGGCCAATTAGGTTGCAGACGAAAAGCAACAGCTCAAAAGCTTTAGCTTCTTTCTTTTTTTATTTCGGCCGTTTCTTTTTTTTCGTCGCTTTAAGTGCTTGTTTCGTGTTAAGTTGGTGCCAGGGACAACTTCAATTGATACCGTAGAGAGCTTCGAAAGGGCAATTGACGAACAAATGGCCCAGTTAGTGGTCTGTGGATTCGATACTGGCAGACTGGGGAGCGTGACTTTGGAAATGCAAACGGCTTGTGGTGGATGAAGATGGTGACGTATTTATTTGTGTGGTGTTTTGGAGGCCGTTATTCGGCTTGTGCGACTGCCCCAAACGTAATTTCAACGAAGCCCCGCAGGATAGTGACCAAAAAGCGAAAATTTGGCAGGAACAACCCGAGTACAGGGGGGCCGGGGTCCGCTAGTTTCCTTCTCAGAACCGAGGCCAGAAGATGGCCATGTCCCAGCTAGCCAATCGTAGGACATGTTTTACCGAAGCAAGCCGCCTTGCAGTGGGGGATCCAGTGGAACGGAAGCCGAAGGTCACGTGTTACTGCATGACTTGTGAAACGGTTTACATCCCGCTTCGGTCACACATATTATTGATGCACGTAACTACTACTGAGACCATCTTGGGCACATGGCAATGCTGGAGAAATCGAGGTGAAGTAAAAAGTGAAAATAACAAGAAAATAACACACTATCCGTCGGACAATTACCGTCCGCGCCGTACCCGTGTAAAAACTTAAATACACGATGTTCGATGTGAGCGCAAAGTTGATGTCGGTTTGAACTGATCAACTCGTACTTCGTATCGCCCCAAAGACCCCGATATGCGGTGTGAATCTCTCGCTCATGTCCGTTGGTCTGAAGGTTTTCCCGGGACAAGGGGTTAAAATAGAATGGCCATTCGAGAGTGGCCAAGAAAGTTGCAGAGAACAAAGAATCCAGAACTATGGGAAATAAGTAAGCACAATCTACAGTCAAATCCCAAAGCTTGACAGAATATTTCTCGACAGTAAAAGATTAAACAAAAATACAGTACAGCGTATATGAGGTCCCAGGTTTCCTGCAATAACCCCAAAGATAGGTTGATAATGGGGCTTAAAGCGCCAAGTCCTCAGGCCTTACAACAGACTCAGCCATGATAATGAGCTGGTCGGATTTTGCACGGACCGGCTTCTCAGTCCAGATGTGTCTTTTGAGACTTCACCAAGCCTTGCGAGGGCACAAGTTTACGAAAATCCGCTGATAGAAACGGAGGTACCACTTGTACGCCAGCGGCAATGACCACCTTGAATCCCGCTCCGTCTCCGTTTCCGTACAGAGGCGTAAGCAAGTGGACGAGTGAGTTCGTCTTAAAGTATGCAAACACAAGACAAACGTTGTTTTGAAGGGTACAAGCGCTATGATGTCTGACCGGCCGAGGTTTTCAGCTATAATGGCGCCAGAGAGGAAACAATCGGGTAGACTTCAACGGTGAGGCCGACCATCGCACGGCATACGAGAAGCTCCGTGGACTGACCTCACGAATGCTTCTCCCCTCCGAGGAAAAGGCAGCAATTGTGCAGGGGGATAAAGTATTGCCGTTTTGCACTGTTCTGTGACTCTTTGGTCAAGGAACCGGCTGTCGCTCTGTCGGTCAATGAGGAGCGAGCGGTAGAAAGAATCTCATATCGATAAGTTCTCGGTAAAGCTCTCTGGATTAACGAATAGAAAGGTTTGTTATTTGTTGTTTGCGACCGCAGCCTCGACGATATGTGCCTTGGGAAGGATAGTGAATATGGGATGTGATTGGTCTAGTCTTTTTCGCGATACCTGGCGAAGTGCAGGTTGCGCCTTCCAGCATGTGCCACATCATTGAGGTCGCCCCTTTCAGATTCATTGGTGCCTTTCTTGTGTGCGTCACAATGTATGTGTACGCTCTAGAAGGAAAGAACGGCGATGACTGCACCTTCTCTGAGCTGATACAAGACTGGTAACTCAGGGGCAATGTAAAATGCCTATGATTTAGGAAAGTACGAGTGCGAATGGGATCGCTTGCATCTTTTCGCCTGCGTTTTTTAGCGTACGATTTATTTGTTTGCACACGACACATCTTCCTCATGAGAACAGTCACGAACTCTTCTCCTTCAGCCGCTTCCTATCTTTCTCAACTTGTCATTATCATTTCGCCGGACGATCCCGTGACCACTAGCATGCAAAGACACGCGCGAGGTGGCCTAAACATGTCTTTGGTGGCGAAAGTAAAGTGCAGAGAAGATATGATTTCGTCTTCTTCGTCACACAGCATTCTGACTCCAACAGGCAAGTCCGTGTCCCCAGCTCGATGCTCTACTGGCAGACTCTGCCAGACCCTGGACGAGGCAGATGAAACATTCAGAGCATCTCCCACCGGAATTCAGCTCCACGAGTTTTTGCGTTGGAAAAGAGACTTAGGCTCCAATATCGCGACTCTAGACTGGAGTATACACTACCGTACGATGTCAATGAAGAAGAGTGCCTTTGACAAGATCATTGCCCTTATGCGATGCGGATCGGCCGCATTTTCGCATTGTTGCATTCCCCGCCACTACTCATGTCTTCTGCTCTATTCGCCGAAGTGCCAGAATGTCTTTGAGCTTGACGGTGCCCTTGGCGCCCCAACCAGAGGGGCCAGCGTCAACATCCGGCCGCACGGCGACATACCAGCTCCAGGCGCGCCGGTCCAGCTCGGCGGTCGTAATGTGATCGGCCCAGCTGTCATAGACCATGCGCAGGGCACCCAGAAGCAGGCTGAGATTCTCTTCCTTCTCGGCATCCATGGCCTTGACCGTCTTCTTCTTTTTCGTTGGAGTTGTCTCGGATGTCGGCCCGACACCGCCAACCTTGCCAGAGTCTTCAGAGGACACGAAGCTGCGCATGAGATATTGCCGAGCGCCTTCGGGCCGGTGGATGGGCATGCCGACCACAGGCGTCAGCCCTGTATTGGGACCGTGCTTGAAGCGCGAGGCGGCGCTGTGACTACTGCTTCGACCACCAGTACCAGCACCAGCACCCGCACCACCGGCTTCCTGCTGTTCGCGCATCGCCTCGAGGTCCAGTCCCCATGCGGCCTCGCCACCTAAGGCCACATCCGCACCCGTGCGGCGCAGGCGCTCCGCCATGACACCCGTCACGCAGTTGCGCATCAGCCGCCAGCGGTCCGGGCCCAAAAACGTGCCGCCGAACCAGCGCGTCAGCACAACCAGCGTATCGACAGCACCGAGTTCGTGCAGGATGCGCAGCATCAGGTCGCCACAGCCCGTCTCGCCGTCATCGTACGAATCCTGGCGCACGCTGCTGGCGTAGTCGCTGCTGGTACTGCGGACGCGGTAGGCCCAGGCGTTGTGCGAGGCCGTCAGAAGCTTGGGATGCGCTTCCATGAGAGAACGGAGCAGACCCGCCCGCTGTGCCGGATCGGTGATGGTGGTGGCGCGCGCCACAAACGTCGAGTCCTTGAGGGAGATGGTCTGGCTGGTAGACCAAACACCGGCGGCAGGCTGTGACAAGGCACTGTGGACCTGTGGAGCGAGTTGTGGTGGTGCTTGGTGTGGTTCTGAGGCCACAACAGCGTCGGTCCCGGTTGCCTGTGTGGCCTCTGGCTCCTTGTCATCGTCGATACCAACCACCTCCTCTTGTTCTTCGTCGCCTTTCCAAGTATACCCGCTGCGCTTGAGCACGGCCACCTCACGGCCCAGGATGCGGACCCGCGGCTGGCCCTGGCCCCAGCCGGACTCGTCGGCACTGGGTCCTTTCGCCCACTCCAAGCCGAGACTCGTGGCCTTGGACCGCGAGTTGGCACTGACGACAGCCTGGGCCAGACTCAAGCGGCTCGACACGGGCTGCTCCGGCATGGTGTAGCGCAGCAGCTCGACGGCAAACGCCAAAACTAAGGGCGCACGGTTGGTCAGGAGAACGGTGGAAGCGATGCGGGCCTCTTCCTCCTCGTCGGCCGGCACAAACACGGGAAGCTCGAGGGAGCGTTCCAGCTCGGCGGCGGTCATCGGCTCGGGGCCCAAGAACATATTGCTGCTGCTCGACGCAGCTGCTGTGCCGTCCAGCTGCTTAGCCCGCTTGGCCGATGCTGATCCACTGGCGGAAGCTGTCCGTTTGCTGCCAGTTGCGCTGCCGCCTGCGGCCATCTTCTTGAGAGCCGTCTTGCAGCTCGTTTGTAATGACTTGGCCGCGGCAGCATCCTTGATGGCGTCCTTGACAACATCCGCCGGCGCCTCGGCAATTTGTTGGATGCTACAGGTGTCAGATGGGGCGGGGAATACAGAGATACAAAGAACAGCACACACCTTCGCAGGTTGGCGGCCTGTAGCGCCTTCACCTGCGTCATTGCCTGCAAGATGGGCAGCTTGCGCGTTGTTGTCAGTAAGCGGAGCAGCTCCTGCAGATCTTTTTCCGAAGGAGCAGACGCCATTTTCACTATTGTTCGGCTGTATCGTCAAGCTGATTTGTCGGCGTCGCCTTTGAACGAAGTGCACCACGACGCGGGTGTTTGTGAATTCCCCAGAATGACGGTACGATGTATCGGATGCTAGTGGGAAAGCTGAAGTTGGTTGCTCGCGAAGTCACAGGGTAGGGCGACACTTTGGGGAGCTACAGCAGCGCCCCGCTTTTCTCAATTCGAGAACAACGATTGGGGAAAATGTCGAAAACCTTGAACGATAGAAGCAAGCTTGCGCGGGGACCACTCAACTCGCTGTTTGCGGAGTTGAAACACACTCGGCCAAAGCCAAGGAGATATAAGACAGTTCATATACATATTGCAGACGCCAAAGGTGACATTTGCGCAGCGACTGGCTCTCATCTCACGAGAAAGAGACGGACTTTGTCAATCGTCTCGAATCGCATCTCATCATCCGACATCATGAGCGTCACAGGCTCAAGGGCTGCCGGCATGGTGGCCCAGAACTGGAGATGCAGTTACCAGACCTCCATGGTACTGTCATCTGTGTCTCGACCACATCATCCATGTGTCGCTGCTAGCTGCTTCAGACGGGCTCTCTTTCAGGCGACACCACCTCGCATGAAGCGGCCACCGGCCAAGGAACCGGCATCAAAACAGCCACCGGCGGAGCCTAACCCGTCTTCACCATCTCGGTCCAATACAGACAGAGTGGCTCGTATACCACAAACTCGGGCAGCGCCTTTGCCGTACCGGCCATTACCATTCGCCTCGTCAGACAAGAGCAAGCAGGACGACCAGCAGCAGCAGCAGCAAGGAAAGAAGGAGAAAGGAAAGGAAAAGCCGGAAGCTCTCGACAGTCTCTTTTCACAGCGGAAACTGCCCCTTATTGGCGCAGCCCTGGCTGCGGGTGTCCTGGGCTTCTACATTATGCCCCTGCTCATCACCTACCTCAAGGGCGGCTGCCGCGACGACCACCAGCACGCCGAGGTTGCGCCCGATGCCATTCCCACGGGTCTTCCTCCCGTCGGTGCTGCCGCATTTGACGCCTCTCTGGATGTGCCAGAGCGCATCATGGGCATCAAGCATGAGCGCAAGAAGCTGGCCAGCGGGTCGTCGGGCGCCGTACTCGAGGTGGCCGTCGGCACCGGCCGCAACGTGAGCTACTACGTGTGGGATCCGGCTACGTTCACACCCTCCTACATCAGGTCCTCGGCTGCGACAGCCGACTTGCTCAACGGAAACAAGGAGCGTCCCAAGATCACATCGTTTACGGGCGTCGACTTGTCGGGTGAGGCGCTGGGCATGGCGCGCACACAGCTGCGCGTCACCGTCCCGGCTGTGGCTGCTGCCATCCCCAAGAAGGCGCCCGCCATCGATGACGCTGTCAGCGCCGATGCCGAGGTCGTCAGTACCCTCGACGGCAAGGTGCGCCTCATCCGCGGCGACGCGATGCAGCCCTTGCCGCTGCCCGCGCCGTCGACCAACACCGCCCGCTACGATACGGTCGTCCAGACCTTTGGCCTCTGCTCGGTGGCCGACCCCGTCGTCCTGATTGCCAACATGGCCGCCGTCGTCAAGCCCGAGACGGGCCGCATTGTCTTGCTCGAGCACGGCCGCGGCAGTTGGTCCGTGGTCAACTCGCTGCTGGACCAGTACGCGAGCCGCCATTTTGCCCGCTTTGGCTGCTGGTGGAACCGCGACATGGCGGCGATTGTGGCCAAAGCACAGGAGACGGTTCCCGGTCTGGAGGTGGTGTCGGTGAAGCGGCCAGGGTGGCTGCAATTCGGGACGCTCTGGAAGATTGAGCTGCGGGTGAGGGAGGCCGCAGCAAAGAAGTAAGGGTGAGAGTGGGAGTGCCACTGTTGTCGGCAGAGAGAGGACGGCGGACTGGAACCATGACGATTGTGATGGATTAATGTAGGGAATATCTACAAAAATATGCCATTCTCCTACTCGTTTTATCTTTATTCAAATGAGCGTATATAAGAAATTTTAAGATGGCTCATGAATTTTTTTTTTTTTTTCACAATAAGCCAAAGAAGCAAGGTATCACACGAATTTAAATAAATCAAACGCTTTTCATTAACTAAACAAAAACAAATAAAAACACAGGCAAACTTTGAAACCTCTCACTTCTCCAGCCGACTTGGTCTATTTTCTCTATCCGACACCCACCTCCACCTTTTATGTATCAACAGATTCCCGTCTAAAGACACAAGGGGCTAGTTTAATCCACTGGCCAACCTATCATACAGGATAAGAAGATAAGAAAGGACACACCGGTAGGAAAGAAAGACATCAACGGAACCTTCTGTAGGATACATTGTAAGACAATAAACAAAAACAGAATCGTTCCCTCGGCGGCCTTTTCTTTATAATATTTGAGGCGATTCACACACGTCTCTTCATCCATTCCCTATTCACCTGCCCACACTCATACACAAAAAACACAGAGAGCAGTGCAGACGGCTCAAACATGGGCGACAGCACAAGAGCGCAGAACGGAAAGAGGGGACGATGGAGATGAGAGCGGAGACCCAGACGCTTGATCAAGCGACACCGGGAGAAAATAAGAGACCTTTCATAGGATAGGAGAGAGAAATGTCAAAAAAAATGATAGACGACGAATTGAAGATGACAAAACAACGAAAGCACATTGAAACGGATCAACAAATAAAACAAAATGCCAAATTTCGACGCCGATTTATCCCCGTGAGACCTCACAAAAAATACCAAATGCCCGCTTTTTTTGCAAACCTGCCGAACCCCTCAAAAGCACAAAAAGATGAAAAGATCAAAAAAGATCAAAAAAGATCAAAAAAGATCAAAAAAGATCAAAAAAGATCAAAAAAGATCAAAAAAGATCAAAAAAGATCAAAAAAGATCAAAAAAGATCAAAAATGATCAAAAAAGATCAAAAAAGATCAAAAATGAAATCGCAACAAAGAGAAGAAACCGTAAATCGTTACATTTTTTGTGTATCCCACCTCCAGACACAAAACCAGACGGAAATAGAAAGAGAAGAGGGGAATGGTATCTCAGAAGAAAAAGAGAAAAACGAGAAAAAAAAAGGAGGGGAGTGGTGAGATTGACAATTAAAACTCGTCCAGCAGGCAGTCGAGCTCATCGAGCTCAATGTTCTCCGGGCACCGGTCCCAGCCGGTGACCATGCTGTCGAGCTTGGCCCAGTTCTCGGCCTCGTGGTCCCTCTTAGGGCCAAGAGAGAACATGGGGCGCATGGCCGGGCTCGTCATGAGCGCAAAGGACTCCATGTGGCGAGCGGCGGCGGTCTCCGAACCAAACAGCAGCGCCTCGTCACGACCCGCGTCGTCCAAGAACATGCCGTTGTTGTGCACATGAGCAGTAGCGGACGACGGGGGTGCGGCCTGGGCGGCAATTGCAGCGGGCGACAGCAGGAAGCGGCTGCCAGCGTGCTTCTGCTTCTGGAGGCCCTCGGCGGTCTGCGTAAACTCCTTCTCGTCCTTTTCGAGAGGAGGTGACGCGCCGCGGTGGTTGCGAGACGAGTACGAGCTGGCCGAGCGGTGGTGGCCGGCGTGGTGGTAGCGCGCCTCGCGGGAATAGCGGGGGTAGCGGTGGGAGAGGTGCGTGATGGGCGTGCCGGGCATCGGAATGTCGTCGTCCAGGTCGTCAAACTCGGGCGAAGACAGGTCGACCTCAGGCGACGGGCTCAGTTCGCGGCGCCGCTCCTCCTCGGTGGTCTCGGAACCGGACGCGGCGCTCGACATCGGTGGCGTGACAATGCTGGTGCGCGGCACAATGAAATGGACGGACGACGCATCGGGGAGCGGCAGGTGCGGGCAGGTAGTCAAATAGTAGTAGGTGCGGCGGGGGTGAATGTTCTCGAGCTCCTTGGTCAAAGGGCAGTTTTTCGAGGCGGACCAGCAGGGGCGCTTCATGTAGGATGCGAGGCGAGACGAGATAATGGCGCAGGGATTTGCCGACCTGTGGAGAGAGGAGCCACGCTGTTAGTAGATGCGCCTAAAAGGGGAAATACGAAAATGCGCTAAGAGATGGGAGCGCCGGGGCCAAAAAAAAAATATGCAGGGACGAGATGAAAAAAATAAGTGGGAATCGTGAGACTTCTTGGGTGGTAGAGTAAAGTCGGGAAACGAAATTTGGGAATTTGGGAATTAAGACCCGACAATTGAAGGAATTGATAGGAGGCGGGCTTTTGGGAGAAATTAGACATACTGTTGAACGGATTTGAGCTGCTGCATCAGAATGGCTGACAGCTCCTTGATCAGGTGCGGGCGGTTGCCAGTGGACTTGAGCAGAATGATGACGGCCTCGACAATGTCGTCGTTGACCTCGTCCATGTCAATCTCGACCTCCTCGACGTCAGACGAATCCCTCTCGACGGACTGATGGCGTTTTGGCGACTGGGGCGGTGTGGCGACAGCGGCAGTCTTGGGGGAGGCGTCGTGGCTGCGCTTGGTCCGCTTGGCCGAGGGTCGTTGCGCATCGGATGCGACGGCCGACGACGTGCGCTTTGGTGAGGCAGACGAAGAAAGAGTAGTAGCCGGTGGCGCCATGTTGGTAGTCGAGTCGAAGACGGGCGTAAGCTGCCGTTGTGTGGAAGACGAAGAGGAAACAGACTGGGAGGAGGTTGTGTTGGACGGAGAGGTGGTTGAGGTTGCGGGGGACGCTCCTGGAGATGCGATGGTGTTGGAGGAAGTAGGCTTGGTTGCGGCGGCGGCAGCGGCGGCGGCGGCAGCGCGAGCGGCGTGCGTAACAGGAACGTGGATGCCCAGCGACGGCAGCGAGAGTGATTTGCGACGAGTATTGTACGGCATGATGCGAAAGGGAGGGGAGGCCGCCTTTTTTGTGTTGTTGGAACGACAATCGGGCGATCACAAGGGACCGATCAAGGGGAGAGAAAGGGAGGAGAAAGAATAAAAGAAATAATAGGAGGAATAAGAGGGAAAATAGAGGGAAAAGGAAGAAATAGCAGGAAAAAGGTACAAAACAGGGGAAACGGAGATATGTGAGACGAAGGAGATAAAACTAGTAGGGTAGGGAAGAACACCGAGGGGGACGAGGCGAGCGATCTCCGGATCTCTCTGCCAAAGCGCCAAAAGCGTTTGCTGTGTCTTTGCTTTCTTTGCTGTCTGTCTCGTCTTTTGTGTGCGTTCTGTTCCTGCGTTTGTACGGCGAAATGACCTGTCTGCTGTGTGATGCAGGGGGCGGAATGTGGAAATAAAATGCGTGCAAATGCGAGCAAGTGCGTGCAGATGTTTCGCTGGCACTGATTGATTTCGATTCTTGGGTAGGAGAGTGTGGGGAGCGGAGCAGTGGGCAATGTGCGGATGGATGGCGAGGAATGCTGTTTTTAATGCTGTTCTGATGCTGTTGCGTGAAAGATGAAAAGTGAAGCAGAAGCAGATGGTGCGAAAGGTGGAAAGGGACTGATGGATGGGGATGCTCTTGACAAGAGGAGGAGAAAAAAGGGAAGTTGGTTGTTTCGTTGGTTGGTGTATGGTATACTCCGGACACACCAGCTCCTTCTGTTTTGGGCGGCCTGAGTTTTAATGCGGACGATCGCTCCTTCCTGCTAGTTTGTTTTGTTGGGTTGTCGGGGAAGGCGAGAACAGTGAACACAGGTCAACGAAGGAAGGCACGCCTTTTTCCGTAGCAAGCTTGTCGAGTCGTTCTTTCCTTGCGAGTCGATTGTATCTGTTTTGTTTTGTTTTTGTTGGATGCGGGTCGTTGGGATGGGAAAAAGGGAAGGAGCAACAGGCAGTAACCCCCAAAAAAGAGCAGGCAGAAAGAGCCGGCGAGGCCAGGGAGAGACGCAGTAGTACAGACAACACCAGAGATGCGGTGAAAGCGGTAAGGCGATGAGTTCACTCAGCGGTGGCAACGGACGGGCATTGGAGCAGGCAGAAGGACCAGTTGCAGGCTAAAACAAGTAAGAGCTAAAAGAAAACCCCCCAAGAAAAAGAACAAAAGAGCCAAGGGAGACGAGATTTACAAGCGTCACTGCTTGGTCGCTCGGGGCGGGCGGTAAGGCAGCTAGGCGGGCGTGCAGCGAGAAGGTGGTGCAGCAAGAAAAATGGAACAAGGGGGTGTGGGTGGAAAGAAAGAAAAGAAAGAAACGGGGAACGAGCGACAGAGTGAGTGACGGAAGGCCTCAGAGGGGGGGGAGGTGATGGGCGGCAAAAAAGCTGAGGCAGGAAAGGAAGGGGGCGGGAATTCCTTCACACGGCCGCTCTTTTTCAGTTACAATGTTGCTGGTAATGTGTGCTGAATGCGCCTTTGCATTTACAATGTACAAGTATGATGTATACTCGTGGCGAGCTGCCTCGGAATGACGATTCTGTGCCTAAGCAATCACCCAAGGATATTGCCCTCGAAAGTGAGAGACAGATGAAAAAAAAAGAGGAAATTTTTTTTTTCGGTGGATGCCGGGTGGACTTGAAAGGGAAGGCACGAATGACGACCAAGTAAAAAGTACTTTGAAATGTAGGTGCCCAGAGTAAATGTAAAGGACTTCTGAGCATCTCCTGATTTTCATTGTTTTTCTCTTTTCTCATTTCTCTTTACTCTTTTCTCTCGTTTCTTTTGGGTAGTTACTGTTTGCCTGTTTTTCATTACAGGTCCCTCTTGCAGCCTGTTACGTACGGCGCACTTGCTTTCCTAGTTTTTCTGGGCTCTTTCTTATTTTTTTTTCTGGGGCCTTTTCTTGGCTCTTAACTGGGTCTGGGCCGTTATGGGGCGAAACGACAGGGAAGACAGCAGGAGAGCAAGACCAGGGGGGGCTCTTGCCAGCAAACAGTGATGAGGGTACAAACTTTTTCACCGGCGTGTCTGCGCTTGCA